TCCAACACTTTGGCCATCTCATGAGAAGAGAAGACTCCCTGGAATAGACCCTGATGTTGGGAAAGTGTGAAGGCAAGAGGAGAAGGGGACGACAGAGGACGGGCTGGCTGGACAGTGTCATCGAAGTGACCAACATGAATTTGACCCAACTCCGGGAGGCAGTGGAAGACAGGAGGGCCTGGCCTGCTCTGGTCCATGAGGTCACTAAGAGTCGGACATGACTTGATGACTAAAGAACAACAAGTACTAAGAAAGTCTTGGACTATGGAGCCCTTCGATCATTTCTCGCACACCTCTTGCTGAGTTCCCTCCTACTGGCTATTTAGAAGGCCACTAAAGATGTGGCTCTTCAGGGAGGCTCACCATACTGACCCCTGCCCAGTTTTTCATCCACCTCAGTTTCCGTATTATTGGTCTGCACCATCTGTTTTTAATTGGTGACTAGCTGTTTTTATTTTCATTCCTAGTTTTGTATTATATTCATGGCAAAGCACCCAGAGTAGCGCCTCAGCACTAACGGGGGCGGTATATAACTTGAACGAATGAACGAACGAACGAACAAACAAACAAACAAACAAATAAATAAATAAATATTTAACAATCGTGCTTAATATTTCACTATAACCTTACTCCACAAGTGTAACTCTTTGGAACACAACCATCACACATGATAGTAAATTTCAGTCCCACCATACCATCTTGAATAATCACCACTATTTTCTAATTCATGTAGGTTATCCTTCAGTCAAACCACTATTAACTCAAATAGCTAGTCTTCTCAAATTCAACTCCTGCTGAGGAGAGATAGTAACTTTAGCAGAAAAGGATTAATAATTCAGTTGGATGTTAGGGAGCCTAAAGATCTAACTCAGTTATATTTAAGTTGAAGGGGGCAAATTTGTAACTAAGACCCTGGTCACATGAGGGAAATATTTTCTAGTTCTTCTGATACTTTCCATACCTCTGTTGTACTGAATCATGGTCACATGGTTTATATCCTGGGACAAACGGCTCAAGAACTTTTAGCAGTACCAATTCATTTCCTTCTGTTTGAATCATTATGACTGGCTACACCATAGTACTGATTTATTTTCTCTCTTACTTCAAGGGGAAATTTAGCCCCTTGATATATATATATATATCTCGATATGTCAGAAGCAAGGCTTCTTCTAAGGTGTGTGACTGCCCCCCCCCAACTCCAGACAGCTCTCCTCCTTTCCTGTGCACCCACGGTGTTATACCACTGGCTGGGGAAATGTCTCGATCTTGTCTTTGTGTTGTGTGATCAGGGGAAAACAGCAACAAACTAACTGGGGGATAACCAGGGAAATTTCCCCTTATGTGACCAGGGCCAAAGTTCAACATTAAAAAAGGATG